CAACCCCGCACCTGGGTTTGGCCGCCGCAGTGCACTCACCCCACTCCTAGGTCCGACAGTCGCGCCGCCCCCGCGCCTGGGTCCAACCATCAGCACCCCCTCCCCCTGGCACACAAGCGCCGTCATCTACCACCAATCCCCAAGCACACCGCCCAAAGGGCCCACGCCCCATCCCCCGACACTATCCTGCCTCGCTGGCGCACCATGGACGTCTTCCTCTTCTGCCTAGAACTTCTTCGTCCTTGGTGCTTGCGTGCACATGACAGCCACATGTGGTGTGAGGAGAATCCAATCTAAAAGAAGAACACACTTTCTTCACACGTGTGCACACGCAAGACAGGCACAGAGAAGTTCAGAGCCGCCGACCCCAACAGCGGAACAACAGCTATGATCGAGGTGATTCTTGTGTTATAACATATATATGTTCTCAGCAATCCAGTAAGCTGTTCTTTGCTCTGAACTCTGCAACGTGGCATAATACAATAATCCTGACCGCTCCTTCTGAATAACGGAGTAGACTTATCAGCAGAAAGTCTTGAACAATATGACCATCTCTGCTTCTGAAAACGTTGTTAACTTCACTCCCTATCCATCTAGTTAGCACAAAGGTTTTTTGTGCTACAAAAGCAAGGATGGAGGCCTCGAAGGACCATCATTTTCTGTAGCTGGGTGCAGAAGAGTACGGATTGGTAAGTGGATCTCTCTTCCAGCACCACATTCGTTTGTTATACATATGTAGGCAACTTAAAAGCAGCTGCAATGGTGATCACAATTTACGTTTATGCAGACAGGATCAACTGAATGGGTTGAAGAAAACAGGGAGATGCTTTCCTCGAGGGGTGTTGCATATCTGAATATTGATGTTTCAGAGTCGGTTCAGTTTTACTCCCATCTACAACTCCCCAACTTGATGAACTACTAATGGAATCAATTAAAATGGAAAGAGTACTAACTGATAGTCAGTTATTTGGTTTTGGTCATACAAAAGAGTAGCTGTTGAGTGGTCAACACTCTACAGTGGGTGTGTCAACTTTGAACCACTTGTCTCTGACAATATCATGCTTATTCTATTTTTCTTATTAATAACAAGATGGTCAAAAAGTCAAAACATTCTGTTTTTTCAATTCATGAAGGTTCAAGACCCCGACAATTCATCTCAGACGGCTTATGATTCATGGGTCAAATCCAATGCTTCTCCCAACGTGAGTTGTAAAATGACTTCCTTATACAGTTAGCCCACCGTTGTCACTTGCGATATATAGTACTGGTTGCTGTCAAACTCTGGGTTCCTTTGTGCGTAAAATGAAACCTGCAGCTTCGGGGTTTCATGTCTGAATCTTCATTTCTAAATTTCAGCTCCAACTCTGAAAATGTTCCTAGCTATTTACTGTAGTTAACATATATTGTCTCTGATATCCTGCATGAAGATTCAACGACTGGGCAATGGAGGATCAGACTATGCAGCATTCGTTCAACATGTTGGCATTCCATCCACCAACTTGATATTTGGAGAAGGTAGGGGCGCATTTCGTATTGTTTATTCTTACGGTTTCTCGTATCTCTAATGGTGCTCCTTGGACATTGACAGGGCCAGGATATCCTGTTTACCACTCTTTATACGATGATTTTGTAAGGGTGGAGAAGTTCGCGGACCCTGGGTTCTGTAGGCATGTCGCAGGTGCAGCCCCGTATTCATTTTGTGCTGTGTGTTACTCCCTCCGTTTACAAATATAAGATGTTCTAACCTTTGTCTGAACCGGATGCATACATTCATGTTTTAGTGTGTATGTTCACTCATTTTAGTTCGTATGTAGTCCATATTGAAATATCTAAAACATCTTAAATTTATGAACGGAGGGAGTTGTACTTGGTAGCTTCACAGCATTACCAACATCATCATCTCACAGCTGCTAGCCGCTGCAGCATCAACGACAACAGCGCGGCGCTCCTGGTGTTTCTCTCCTTCTACTACCTTGCATGCTACAATGCCACCGCCTCCTCACTATACAGAAAGTTTGAGTGAGGAAAAATTCCATCTCATGAACGAACATGAAGAAGTTCTAATGTGATGGTGCTATTCCCTGTAGTTATTTGTTTCTCGTGAATGCATTTGGTTGTGGCTGATGGATCTCTATCTTAATATATTCTTTGCTTTATTCTAGTGTGACCTGCATAGAGCTCTCTCTCTATTCTTGTTTTAATCAACTCACTGATGCACGTACTGAGTAATTCGTGCGACTTTACTGCATCTTGTTTCAGACAGCATCCCAACACTAATTCTTCTGTCTGATTTGAATGCCAGCTGAATCCATTTATTAAGTTGTGACTTTAATTGTGCCCATGTAATGTTGTTGGAGAGGAAATCTGGAGTTAACTGAAGTCCAACTATTACGTTGGACAAGGTTCATCTACTTCATGGTCAGCAAAATTCGACCCTCCCTAGCGTGCCAGCTATTTTTAATATCACAAAAATGAGTGCATATAGTTGATGAGAAAACCTCAAGGAAATTCAAACATTATGTTCTGAAGAAGTTCACTTATACAAAGTGATAGAAGGTTGGAAAAAATAGAGAAGAAACATTGGCGTTAAAAAATAAGCCAAAAGGCATTTAACTAAAAAAAGAGTTTGCTAAAAAAACTCTAGAAGTTTACAAAACCCCAAAAGCCTGTAAGTTAAAACAGTAGACAAATTTTTCCGTCTCTGAAACTAAACCAAGAAGTTTAAATTTAAGATACATAGCAGGTCAATGTTCATAAGAAAATCAGAAAAAAAATTATCTAAATAAAAGCAAGAAATTCAAATTAACATACAACATGAGTTTGATGCTTATTTTTTATAAAAAGAACATTGTTTTACAGTTCAAAAATGGAAAAGGAAAGTATTTCAAATAAACCAAGAAGTCTAAATTATATAAAAAAAGAAGTTCAATATTTATATAAAAAAACAGGTTTTCTTCGTTACTAAAGAATAAAATTAAAGAAGTTCAAATTAAAATAAAAGGAATAGTTTGATATTTACGGAAAACTCAAATTCTTTCCATTTCTAGGAAAAATAAAAGTATGAGGTTCAATTTTGAAAAAAAATGTTTGATGCTTATTTGAAAACATATTTTTTTCTAAAAATAAGACTAAGAAGTTCAATTCAAAATAACAGAGAAGTTTGAAGTATATAAAAAACTCAGATTTGTTGCAATAAGTTCACGTGCACCACCGTGCATGGTTCAGAATTTATATTGCGGGATGTTCGACCTTCAATTACATGTTTTAAAATGGAAAAAATGACGTTCTACCTTCAATTGCATGTAATTCGACATATAAAAAAAATGTGACAGAAGTTCATAGTGAAAACAATGAGAAGTTCAATTACTGCAAGGAATGCATTTCAGATGAGAATAAAAAGTATAGAAAAAATAAAAGCATAAAAGGTTTGTTGAAAGAAGTTCAAGTGCTCTGTCCAGGGAAGTTCAAAAATTCTTGCGAGAGAGGTTCACCTCATATTTCCATGTTTGATTTTTCCGTATAAAAATCGAATACAATTTCTTTACTCAAAATATGAAAAGGTGAAGTTCAAATTGAAATAACAGAGAAGTTCGGAGTTTATTAAAACCTAGGATTTTCCTGTTAAAAAAATAAAAAACACAACGCCATTTTTTGCACTTTTAAAAACAACTCATAAACAAAAAATGGTTGCTGGAAGTTCAAGTACTCGGTGAGGAAAAATTAAAAAAATCTTGTGAGAGAGGTTCACCATGTATTTAGATGTCCAAAATACATTAAAAATGTTATTTTTTGTGTTTTAGAATAATTATCTCAAACCAAAGAGAAGTTCAAAGTGATAACAGCCGGAAGTTCACGTACTACATGGTGCGTATTTCATATGAGAACAAATACAATAAAGTGAAACAGAGTGAAGTTCAGACAGACTTGCCCCAGAAGTTCAACTACTTCACGAAGTGCAAAAAACAGCACATAAAAAACAGAGTGAAATTCAAACAGACATGCCTGAGAAGTTCAACTACTTCACACAGTGCATTTCCATTTGCGATGAAGGCAGAAATCATGATATCATCATTTTCTAATTTATTTCAAAACGGTAGGGAAATCATTTGTGTAAGTTAAAGTCCTCGGTCGAAGAAAGTTAAAAAAAATATTGTGAGAGAAGTTTGTACAACAAGAATATCATTTTTGTAACACTGACGAAATGGATAAGAAAATTACAAACGAAAATATGCCACAAAAGTTCAATGTGAAAACAACAGGAAGTTCGACTACTATAGTGAATGAATTTGAGATGAAAAACTTTTAAAATCGTCGCGAGTACGAAAAAACGATCAACACGGGAAAGTTACATGTTTACATCAGCTTTCCACCGGTATATCACTTGCTCAATTTCGATGAGTGGATGGAGAGCTACAAGCAGTGGATGGAGATCTACGAGCAAAAAAAGCACGTGAAAAAGCAGAATGAAGTTCAGGTACACGCGACGAGAAGTTCAGATTCTTCATGCGGTGCATTTTCAAAAAATCTGTTTCGCGACAAAGGCAGAACGAATGATCTCGCCATTTTTGCAATTACATGAAAACGGTCAGGAATCAGAGAAAACCATTAACATGAAACAGTTTCGCATTTTCCGTAGCTTTTCAGCGGTATATTATTTGCCCCATTCCGATAAAGTTTGTATAAATTACGACAAAAATACGTTTTTAGCCATTTTCAAAACTGACATAAAACCGTAATGAATTAGGAGAAACAATATATACAAAAAAGTTTCACATTTCTTCAAGCTATCCAAGGCCATATCATTTGCTGCATTTGGACATATGGCTAAAAAATTAGCTCAAAAATATGAACTCGGTGGAAGTTGTACCGTTTTCTAAATTACTTTTAAACTGTTCAAAATTAGAAAAAACTTTTAACATGAAAAAGTAGCGCATTTTCATAAGCTTTCCAACGCCATATTATTTGCCTCAATTGGATTAGCCGTTTAGAAATTGCATAAAAAATATGAACTCGGCTGTTCGGTTTGCGAAATTCTACGATTTTCCGAATTACTCTTTAACCGTAGGGAATTAGAGAAAACTTTCAACATATGGAAGGAGCGGTTTTGCAGCAGATTTCCAACACCATATTATTTGCCTCATTCCGATAAATGGTTTAAAAATGCGTTCGAAAATACGATTCACGTTTTTTGTATGAGGAAAAAACGGTTTTCAAAACTGCTCTTAAACCGCTTACATTTTGCCAAAAATTTAACTTGGGTCATGATACTGATGTCCATAGCTATCCAACGGTATATCGCAAGCCCCATTTGGACACCTTTTAGCTGAAGTTCAACCTAGTACTCGGGAAGGTTAGGCGCGTTGCTCGGGAAGTTCATGTTGTGATCAGAATATTATTCTGATCCCGTGATCAGAATAGTGTTTATGTATATATATATATATATATATATATATAATGTGGTTGCAAAATGATAGGATCATCATGGATGTGCTAGGGGCCACGACCGAAGTGGCGACCCTAAAGCGAGTGTTGTCCGAGGCCGAAAACAAAGCGGCTGAGGAGCGCACCGAGCGGGAGAAACAAGAGGCACGGGTGGGCGAGGTGCAGCAAGAGCTCCAAGCCTTCGTGAAGAGACGTGAGAGTCTGAGCTTGCCGCGGCCCTTGAGAGCACAAAGCATGCCAAGGCTGAAGCCCAAAAGGCCCTCTAGGAAATTGAGGCGATGAGGAAGATAGCGGTGGGTAAGGCATTCATTATGCAAAGCAAGCATGTGAAAGTAAATTACTTGTTACTTACCCGAGTCCGGAGCTCTCCAGGAGCATTCACAGATTTGCCCCACAGCGTGTCGGATGCCGCAAAGTACTACCAGGCCGAGGAGGGAAGCTCGACGAAGAAGTTGTTCTGGTCTCAGTATACTGGGACCGAACACCCGATGCCTGTGAGCGACCAGCTGAAGCAACTGGTCGAGCTGCACAAGGCGGCCGAACATGCCATGAGGGGCCTTATAGTCTGCATGTGGCCTGGCGACTCCCTTCCCAATAGCTACTTCGGCCTGGTGAGGCGGCTTGTGGATGCCTGCCCACGGCTGGAAGTCATAAAGCAGTCTGTCTGCATCAAAGGTGCACGCCGGGCTTTAACCCGTGCTAAGGTGCACTGGGCCAAGATGGACGCCGAGAAGCTGGTGAAGGAGGGGCCGCCGCAGGGCAAGGAGCATCGCCACCCTGAAATGTATTATGAGGGTGCCCTGAAGGGTGCCCGTCTTGTGGCGGACGAGTGTGCGAAGGATGTAATTTTTGAATGAACTTGCTCGTGTGATCCTGTATTATGAAAACTTGTTCATGTGTGCTATGCAACGCTTATTTGAATTTAAAATATTACCTTCTGTGCGGCTGTTTATCAAATCTGAGAGATGGCTAGTCGTCGGCTTCTGCCCCCATGCCACGAGTGCTAGGGTGTTCGGGATAAATCTGAGCACTCTTTTTCCCATTGTTGGGTCCTTCGAGGGAGGTGCTCAGCACAACGAACAAGGCAATCGGACTATAATGCTTTATCACTCTCACTTAGCCATAGAAGTCTATAATTTTAAATTTTGGCGAAGCCCCTAGTATTCGGAAGGCCGAATTCGGGGCGCTATACACGCCTGAGCCGGACAAAGCCAACTCCTCGCCCTAAGCGGCATAAGTCTTTAGGGACTCGAGACCTCTCGAACAGCGACCAGCTCTCGCCTTATCATGACAGTCAGTTTTAGCTTTCTCTACTGAGGTGCTTGCCCAGATGAACCGGGGCACAATCGCAGTAGTTCTCCCAGTGCTACCTTAGCCGATATAGCGGAATGTAAGGTACCAAAACATGGGAGCCGAGCAAACCCAACTGTTGACCCAAGACATGATTCGGAGCTGATGCATATAATGCTTTAAGTTTGGGGTGCCGCACTGTCGAAAGTGTTCAGACTTCTCACGCCGTATTATGGGGTACGCTTAAGCCCCTGGCGTATTGGCCGTACCAGAGTGTACGGGTGCTGAATGTCATGAATGAACATATATATATATATATATATATATATATATATAT